TCTCTTGCGTGCGCGCGCACTTCCTTTCGCGCGCATTCGCGCACTCTCACTCGCGTGCACGCGCATCGTCTCTCACTCGCGTGCACGCGCATCGTCTCTCTCTCTCTCTCTCTCTCTTTCTCTCTCTCTCTCTCTCTCTCTCTCTCTCTCTCTCTTTCTCTCTCTCTCTCGTGCACGCGCACCGTCTCTCTCTCTCTCTTTCTCTCTCTCTCTCGTGCACGCGCACCGTCTCTCTCTCTCGCGTGCGCGCGCACTCTTTCTCTTGCGTGCGCGCGCACTCTCTCTCTTGCGTGCGCGCGCACTCTTTCTCTTGCGTGCGCGCGCACTCTCTCTCTCTCGCGTGCGCGCACTTTCTCTCTCTCGCGTGCATGCACGCGCACCGTCTCTCTCTCGCGCGTACAAGCACACCGTCCCTCTCTCTCTCGCGTGTACGCGCACCGTCTCTCTCTCGCGTGCGCACACCCTCTGTCTCTCGAGTGTGCATGCGCGCTCTCTCTTAATTTCTCGTTTTCTCTCTTGCGTACGCGCGCACTCTCTCTCTCGCGCGCGCGTGCGCGCACTCTCTCTCTCTCTCGCGTGCGCGCACTCTCTCTCTCTCTCTCTCTCTCTCTCTCTCTCTCTCGCGTGCACGTACTCTCTCTCTCTCTCGCGTGCGCGCACTCTCTCTCTCTCTCTCGCGTGCACGTACTCTCTCTCTCTCGCGCGCGCACGCACTCTCTCTTGCGCTTTCCCATCCTCCTCTCTCACTTGCTCGCCTTTGTCCTTCCCTCTTAGGCTCGCCCTTATGTTCTTTCTCTCGATCTTTTCCTCAACTTTGTCTATATCTTGCTGTCTTTCACTCAAACTATAGTGCAAGCAGGAGGAAAAGTTGCGAAAGCAGCCATTTTCCATTTTCCACTAAATTTGCATTAGTTTACTGCATTTGTTGTATACTACGGATCATAAACTAAATATCATTTGTATCTTTTATCCTCTCTTTCTCTGTTTGTCTATCTCTCTTTCTCTCTCAGGCACACTGACGAACGCCCCCATCACCACACGCGCACACTCAAACACACACACGCACGCACGCACGCACGCACGCACACACACACACACACACACACACACACACACACACACACACATCACACAGACACGCACGGCACGCGACGCCACGCCACGCACGCGCACGCACGGCCCGCACACACACACAGCACACCCCACACACAGCACACACACACACACTTCACACACAACACCACGCCACGCACCGCCACGCCAGCGCACGCACACACACACACACACACACACACACACACACACACACACTCACACACAACAACACGCACGCACGCCGCACGCCGCACGCACGCCACGCACGCACACACACACACACACACACACTATCAAGAGCTTATAATGATACATTATGTCCCTCTCTCTTCTCTCCCTATCTCTATCGCTTCGACCACTGTCGTAGCGTCTAGCCTAGCGGATAGTTATCGTTACGCACTACGAAAAAGAGGAATAAACATAACACACATAAAACGAATCCTATAAGCGAGTTTCATTTGAAAAATAATATTTTCTGTAATTATTCACAAAATTCCATGAACTGACAACGACTTAACTTAATTCAGAGCGTAAAACACTAGGCTAAACGTCTGCAGCCTTCAAGAATGCGAGGAACGATTTCGAAGGTAAAGAAAATAGTTTACACGTAGATTGTCAACTAACACCGTCTAAATTGAAACTAACGACAACTGCATTAAATTTGAATGACGAATTGTAAAAACCTATAATTTTGCGTAACAAACAGTAATAAGACCATAACTCGTTACATGTGGCATACACGCACACGTACAAGGAAAACCTCTATAAGCGAAGGGGTGGCATCAAGGATTGGCCGACACATGGACTAATTAGGTCTCCGATGATCGGAGTGCGATACGTGCTAACTAAATAAGCGATACGTGCTAAAGGTACCGGACGATGTGGGGCTAAGGTCCCCGACCGGGAGAGCTACTCACATTGCGATTAGGGGGCCAAAGGCTTTTTAAACTGGGACGTTTGAATTTTGTTTCAAAATACCGAAACTCAAAAGGGCATCTTTAGGTTTTTATCAGAAAATAATTGCTATATCTATAACTACTGATATATTGTAATTTAATCAATCGATATCGTATGTACAGATAAACCAGCTATTCATGCTGCGGATTGTATTCATAAGTGACTGTGAGTAGCGCAGCACTACTCAGCACCTCGACCTCAATTTTTCACTATATTCCCCGTTGGGCAAACTTAGCTTCCCAGACGGAGTAGCGAGGCTGTAGCCCCTTAAAACCCTCACCCCTTGCTACACTGCCGCTACAACTGTAAAGCGTAAAACATAAATGAACAGGTTTACAATAACACACTAAAATAACATAGAATGCACAATTACTCGCTTCAAATAAACAATACGAGGTCCAATACATGGTGAAGGAAGGTAAAAACATTAGCCAGTTACGATTAAATACTTATCAAACATGTCTGGGTTTGCAGATTTCTAGGTGTACTACAAAGGTATACGAAAGTAATTCACCTGCTGGATGTATTGTTGACAGTGTTCATATAGAATCATTGTATGACACCATACGCAGATAATCGATTCGCACGCATTTCTACCATTTTTTAAAATATTACAGACAAATATGCTACGACTGCATGTCCTGTCTTCTTATCTAGCCACATCCTGTTTACACGTACGACGCGTCACTTTTAAAACACGTATGCATGCACACACACCTATAACGCAAGCTTTTAATTAGTTTACAATATTGAGGGAACTTATGAAATAACCATCTCACTCACATCTCACGATGCTAACTACACCACACACGGGGTTCCAGATCTCCCACCATCTGTATTTCTCCTACGTTCACACACTAAAGATGTACAATATCCTTATCTTTTAACATAAAACAATTTGACTGAATTTTGGTGCTTAATCCAGATTTCATAATTAACCTAATGCGTCTGTTTGTATAGCATACTACAATTAACGTAAAAAGCCTTTTTTACACAGTCGTTTGTGCCAGAGATACATTAATTGCCTGTCAGTATATATCATTAATAAAAGACTTTGTGTAAAGTTCCGTAACATTACATAATAAATGATTCATGTTTGTAGTTTCCCCATCCTTTTGCCCAAGCTTCTTATACCATTTATGCATATAAACACGAATGCTTACACAAATACACAAAGGCTACATGTACACCGATATTTCTTTTGCAAACTACTGCTAAATATAGGTACGTTCACAGGTAACTGCACACATGCCTTTTATGCATAAAAGTAATCTTTCAAAAAAACTAATAATAAACTATCAAAAGGCATGATGAGACATCGTTCAGATACGTATGATTTATATGCAGTATATAAAATAAACACCTACTCAGTCTACACTACGTTATAATAACGCGACACTGCTCTTTGTCCCAACACGTTAATTAACCACCAACTTTACACTTTGTCTAAGATAACATGAAGGGGCGAAATTTGTAAAGAGCATGATTATTATTTCTTCTGACAAATGTCATGTTTGCTGATTTATATACTTTTACATCAATATATGTGCAGTAACCTTGGAGGTACTGCAGAATTCATATAAATTGTGAGCTGCATTTTGAGGTGAGATTCCAATGTGGTATACCAGGTTCCTGATTATTTTCAAACCCACCAAGTCTACTTACTCTACATACAAATATGTACAAAGTGCATTATTGTTTGCGACGCTGGGCTATCTGACTAGCTGGTCGCCATGCCATCAGGCAGAATGCTGGCAATTGCCTGGTCGGCATGCGAGTCCATGTGTCCCTGCAGAGCCTTCAGGGTCACGTATGCCGCACCACAGATCGTGCAGATGTTCGCCTTGTCGCCGCCGGGAACGATCGTCGCGACCGCCTGGTCGGCCGTCGACGGGAACGACAGCGGCGCGGCGCGCTCGTCGTCGCTCGCCGTCTCCAGGGCAACGCGCCGACTCTTCGCGTGCACGTCCTCGCGCAGGTGGCGCTTCAGCTTGCGCAGCGACGCAAACACGCGCGTGCACTCGTGGCAGCGCCACGCGGGCTCCTTGTGCGTGCGCCGGTGCGCCTTCAGCTCGCGCCGCGACAGGAACTCGGCCGCGCACAGGTCACACTCGAGGTTCGGCCGCCGGAAGTGCAGCTTAGCGTGCTTGCGGTAGCGCCGGTGGTCGGTGAACTTGCGGAAGCAGCGGCTGCAGCGGAAGCGTGCCGCCGCGCCGCCGCCGTCTGCGGCCAGGGCGCCCTCTGGTGGTCGCCGCGTGGACGCCGCGTCGGCGTCGCCCGCGCTGCGCCGCGGGCCCGCGTAGTCGTGCTCCAGCGACACGTACGCGGGCTTGTCGCTGCTGGTCGCCTCGCTCTGCCTGTCGTCTGACGAAAACGCGTCTCTCTGATCGTCTTTCCTGAACGCGACCAACCGCGCCTCCTCTCTCTCGAGTTTATCGAGTTCCTGGCCCCACGCGTCAATGTCTATGATTAGTTCTCCTTCGTTGTCCAAGTCGGGCGTGAGAGGAGCGAGTTCCTCTCCCATAAGCTCATCATGCCTACCCTCCACCTGGTACATTGGAATTTTAGACGAGCCATCTGTTTTGAGCGTCAATTTCAATTTCAGAGGGCTCAGTTTATTCTGCTTTGCATCGTCTATTGCTGAAGGGCTCTCATCGCCGGATACAAGATGAGCCGAGTTCGATTTTGTCGCCTCGCCACTTATGATAGCAAGCATGTGTTGACTCATGGTTTTATCGGACACAAAGTCGTCGTTATCCCAACGCTTTGGCCTTATCATGCGGCCTGACCTAGACGCAGGTGGACTCATGTCTGTCGGTCCCTGCGCAGCATGGACTATTGCAGTTATGGTTATGCGCTCAACGGAGTCGCTTGCTTGCGAGGTAGGGGTTTCAGCTGCAGAGGAATTCTGTTGCATATCGGAGGAGGAAAGGGCAACGAAGCTGTCGTCATAAACAAAGTCTTTACTCAACTTTGGTTTTTTGATTTCTCGTCTCACTCGCTTAGAAGTCACTACATCCTTCGTGATCAATTCATCGACAGATTTACGTGTCATCTTGCCAGCCTGTGTTCTGGACTTCCCGTCACGAGTCATCGCTGCAGCACCTCCTTCTGGTTTCGATGCGTGAGCTCTCCTCGACTTCGTAACGAACTCTGCTTCCCCGCAAGTAGATGCTTCATCGCTGGTATTGCCTCTACCTCTGCGTTTTCGTGGTGCTTTAGCACTGCCCTTACTGGACACATTTGTCTCTGTTTTTGGCTGCACCTTGGGTCTTTCCTCACTAGCAGTCTTGTTGCCCACGTCGGATTTTTTGTCAGATCGTAATTTTCGTTTTCTGTCTGCCAATAGTTGCTGTCGAGAAGCAAAAGGTTTTGACGCGCGCTGTCGTTTACGCTTTTCACCCGGGCATTTTTTCTCGTTCGCGGCACTGCCTGTAGATCTTGAACGCAGCTTCTTGGTATAGGCAGGCTTGTTGTCGGTACGTCTACGCCTTGGCTTCCTACCGCTCTTTGCACTCTCAAGATCCTGATTCAGATCAGTCTCGACTGGTGCTGATTGTAAATCACAGCTAGTGTTGCTATCGCTACATTTCTTTCGTCTGCCCCGTTTTCTCCCAGGCACGCTTTTCACGCCAGATGCCGCCTGCACAACGACTTCCTCCGAACATTTGCCTGCAATATGCTTCATGGAGGAGTCCACTGTGAACTGAAAGCCGCCCGAGTCGGTGCTTGGCTTCTTAGTATCGGTTGGCTTACCGTCTAATGTCCAAAATTGTTTCACCTCACTGCTGTACACAAAAGCTTCGTCATATGGTTTCCTAACCACACGCCTCGACTTCCTGAGTTGACTTGGCTCGGCCGATGAAGCAGCTGCCTGGACAGAATCGCATTCTCTTCCTTGGTAATCCTCATCCAACTTCTGCACAACTGCAGCTTTCTCCTCTAGCTCTCCCAGTTCAAGCAATACTTGGTTGACCAAGGAATTCACAACCAGAGACACGACACTGTCATTGCCATGGAAACCCGCATTATCGTCACAAACCTCTGCATCTGGCACGATTACTACCTTTCGACTAGTTGTGGCTGGCTTTCTCCTTGACGGAAAGTTCTTTTTTGGCGGAAAATCGCTTTTCTGATTCAACTTCCTCGACCGTCCACGCCTCTGTCGTACAGTGGCTGGTTGCGAATTATTGCACTGACTTTCACACGGATGTTTGCTAGTGCTGTTCTGTTTCTGCTCATCAGATGTATCACGAGCACTGGCATCTTGCTTGCAGTCATTGCCGCTAGGATACTCCTGGACCGGTTTACTCTTCAGAGAGTTATCGTGAGTAAAATTAGACTGTTCTCCGTGCAGATTAGCACTCGAGTTTCGCTGCTTCGATCCACCGAGCAGATAATGATCTGCCGTGCCCGCGCTACTGTCATCTCCCTCAGCACAGAGTTTGTGTTGCTTCTGTGCCTGAACAGAAGCACGAGTTCGTTTACCGTGTGGCGCCGGCGGCGACTTTACTTTCACACGTGCTCTTCGCAATACACGGGCATCACTGTCTGGTGGTGCATCGTTAACGTTGGAGTTGACGTGATTCTCTACTTTCTGAACCTCAGCTGGCAATGCACAGGCACGCCTTCGCGCCACCAATTTATTTGTGGATGGGACCTTCATGGCTCTGATAGGATCCACATTAATTGCCACCGCTTTATCTGTGGATGCAACTAGCGCTGTGTGATGCTCCACTTTGATCACCACCGGTATATTTGTGGATGGAACTTCCAACGTTGTGTGAGGCTCGACTTTACTCGCCAGCGATTTACTTGTTGCCGGAACTTTTGACGCTGTGTCAGGCTCCACTTTACTCGCAACCGATTTACTCATCGATGCTACTCTCAACGCAGTGTACGGCTCCACTTTACTCGCCACAGATTTACTTGCAGGTGTAACGTTCATTGTTGAGCCCGACTCCACTTTACTCGAGAGCGATTTGATTGCAGACGGAACTTTCGTTGCCACGCCAGGCTCCAACCTACTCACAACCGATTTATTTGGCGACGAAACGACCGTTGCTGCGGCGGGCTCTGCCTTCCTCGTCGCTGCCTTACTCGTGGACGACGGGCTGACTGCTGCAGCACCGGCTTCTACCTTACTCGCTACTGACTCGACGACAGTAGTGGTGCGCCAGCAGCTTGACACCGAGATGTGGTGGTTGCGTATGCTCGGCGAGAGAAACTTCTTGCCGCACACGCGGCACTTGGCGGCATCCTCGTGCTGATGGGGCCGGGCCGTCTTCAAGTGGTCACGCAGCTCTGTGACGCTGAAGAAGCGCTCGTTGCACGGCCTGCACTCGTAGTGACTGCCGACGACCTTCGGAGGGATTTTCAGCGGATGACCTGCCGACGACAGCTTCGTCGCGCTCGAGTGACCTTCGACCGCCGCGCCGTCGACTCCGCCGTGGCTCGTCAACTTCGTCTTGTGCGCGACTCGGCAGTGAGATTCCCGATCAGCGTCGGTGACAAAATCCTTGCCACACAGCGCGCAAACGAACGGCTGCCTCTCGCTTTCCGCCGCCGCCGGCTTCCTTTCCTCCTCTGCCGGCTTCCTCTCCCCCTCTGCTGGCTTCCTCTCCCCCTCTGCTGGCTTCCTCTCCTTCCCTGCCGGCGCAATACATGGCTTTGGTCCCTCTTGCGCGCTCTTGTCGGCAGGTGGCTCCACCTTCCGGGCAGGATCCCGAGCGGGTCGACTGTCGATGAGATGCTGGACGGCGTCGCCGTGAATGTTCTTTATGTGGCGCACCGCACCCGACTGCGAGCTATACTTGTTCGCGCACAGTTTGCACACGAACTGCTTGTAGACGACCAGTCCGCTCTCCTTCTGTATCGAGCGCGACACCTGCGTGATTGGCCAGCGGTTCCTGCCGGGCGGCGGCTTCTGCTCGTTTCGAGAAGTTTCTGGATCGGTGCCCGCAACGATCACCATCTCAGTGTGTTCGTCCTTTGCAGCGAAAGCGCTGCTAGCAAGGTCCGCAATCTGACAGCCGCTCGCCTCCTGTGGCTTCGCGCTTCCCGTGGGCGTCGCCTCGAGGGGGCGGCGGCGGCACCACCGCGAGTGGACGGCGAACAGCGCAACGCTGCGACACGCGCGACCGCAGTTCTCGCAGTTTTTCGCCGTCGCGGCGCACGTCGTCGCTCGGTGGATCGCCAGCGCCGACCGCGAGTAGCAGCACGTGCGGCAGGCCGCGCACTCGTGCTGCCGAGTGCGCACGTGCGCCGCGTACCGGTGCCGCCGGAACTGCGCGAGGCTGCTGAACGCGGCGCCGCAGTCGCGGCACACCGTGCTGCACTCGTGCCGCAACGCCGCGTGCCAGCGCAGGATCGACAGGTAGCCGAAGCCCTCGCCGCACTGTCCGCAGATGTGCTTCGGCTCGTGGACAAAGCCGTGCACGTGGCGCGCGCGCGCCGTGCTGAACGACATGCGGCAGACGTCGCACTCGTAGTTGCGGCCGGCCTTGTGGTTGAGCGCGTGCCGCTGCAGGCTGTGCCGGTTGAAGAAGCGCTTTGCGCACGTCGCGCACGCGTGCGTCTGCGCGCTCGCCGCCGACGCGGGAAAGTGAGCAGCGGCCATGTGGTCCGTCAGCTGCCAGATGTCGGTGAGCACGGCCGTGCACGCCTCGCACTTGTACGGCTGCGCGTCGGCGTGCAGCTGGAAGTGCCGGTGCAGGTGGAGCGCGCGGCGGAACGCGCGCCGGCACACGCCACAGTGGCTCGCGCGGCGACGCTGCTCGCGGTGGCCGAGCACATGCACGTAGAGCCGCCGCCGCGCAACGAACGTGCGCCCGCACTTCCTGCACCTGTAGGAGGCGCCGCCGCTGCTGCGACCAGAGCGCGGCGTCGTGCGCGCGGCGTGCGACGTCCGTCGATGCTGAGACTTCGCACTCACCTCTTTCGCGGCGGCAACTCGACCGTCCTCGGTGCCGCCATCCAGTTTCACCTTCTTTTTGCGGCCGCGCTTCCGCTGGCCCGTTTCCGGATCCATCTCCGCCAACTTTCGCTTGCCCTTCCCGCGAGCGTCCGGGTCTCCGGACGACGGCGCGCCGCCTGCCCTCTGGAGGCGACGCTTGCGGTAGCTCATCGTGACGAAGTGCAGCCGCCGCTCGGACGGGCACGTGATGCGGTGGAAGCCGGCGATGTGTCCGCGCAGCGTGTCGCCGCGCAGGAAACCGCGGCTGCACTTGCCGCACTTGTACGGCAGGTGCTCGATCGTGTCGAGGCCGACAACGCGCGCCATGTTGGCGCCGTACGTGGCGCCCTCTAGCGCGACGCGGCTCGGCGGGTGCGCGGCGGCGACGTGCCGCTCGAGCGCGGCGCCCGACTCGTGCGCGGCGTCGCACTTGCCGCACACGTGCAAGCTCGGCTGCAGCCGGTGCAGCGCAGCGACGTGCGCGCGCAGCTGCGCGGCAAGCCGGAAGCAAGCCGCGCAGTACGCGCACATGAACGGCAGCTGCTCGGCGTGCGACGACATGTGCGCGAAGAGCGCGACGCGGTCGGCGACGCGGTGCGCACACACGCCGCAGCGCTGGTGCCCGGCCTCGTGCTTGCGGAAGTCGCGCCGCTGGAAGAAGCTCGCGCGGCACACGCGGCAGCGGAAGAACGGCGTAGAGTGGTGCATTGCGGCGAAGTGCCGCCGCAGCGTCACGGGCGTGCTCAGCTGCTTGTTGCACTCGCCGCAGACGAGACGCTCGCGCCGACGCTCGTTGGTCGCCGCGCCGACGGCCGCCGCCGCATCCTTAACACTCGAGTCGCACGAGTCGACGCTACCGCGGCGTGGTGGCAGCACCAGCGGGTCGCTCGGCGGCGAGGTGGTCGCCTTGGGCGCTTTCGTCTTTGCCTTCTTCTTCGTCACCTTACCGGACTCCTGCTTTTTAGCAGTCGATTGTTTCACCTCCTTGGCCTTCGCTGGCACGCAAGCTTTGCTCAAGTTGTTGCGATTGCTCGACTTCTTAATCTTTTTCCCAGAGCTGTCACTAGAACTCTTCTTTCTGTTGTCTTCCTTTGCTACACAGACTTGCTTGGAAGTACTAGCATCTTGGGATTTCACTTTCGCTACCCTTTTCTTACCACTAGTCTTTTTTGTGGTGGTACTACTAATCGAACTTTCAGTCTTTTTCTTACCGACCGACTTCCTAACTCGAACCTTCGCAGGCTTCTTTGCCTTTCCTGCTGTGCCATTAGGCTGGGTTGTACTGCACGTTCCACCATCAGGGATATCAGACTGTAGTATCGTTGCTGTGATCTCCGATTTGGACACAGCATCTGCTGCATCGCTCAACAGATGTAGAGCACTCAGACCTTCCTGTTCGACATGGTTCACCTGCTCGATCACCTCCTCCTTCACGACTGCCATCATCTGTGGCTTTACATCGACACCGGCTGGGTTCAGGACACAAGTGTCTCCCACTACAGGCTTCACGTCAATGGTTTCAGACATCCCTGACTGATGATGGAATAAGCTAGACACGGCACCGACTAAAATCAGCTCAAATTGTCGACGGGGATAAAAATCGTTCACACATCGTCGTCGTTTATAATTTTTCACCCTGTTCTCTGATGTGTCATGTGTCAATGATACATGTGTCCACAACAAATACGGAGACTCATCGTCTCTGCAGATGCAACTTTTCGGATAACCAGCATCGGTGAATTATATATTGATTCTCTTCAATTCTGCAAAAGAAAGGAAAATGGCATAAATTAATATAATAAACTGATATACTGCATCTCAGAACCCAATATTAATTATACAAATTATTGCAGTATAATGAAACAGTCCTGGTTTTACTCATATATGTCGCCTGCTTTGCAAATGGCAAGAAGAAAAATTACACCTGGCACCACCAAACATTCATTACAAAAAATAACGAGGATTTGATCACCATCATCACACAAACGATCGTTATTCTACATTAACTCCCAGATGTTAACAAACAGTACATTAAAATTACAAAGTTACGGGTTGAAAACGCATGATTTCCTTTCATAAAATGTTTGCTTGAAACGAATAAACTGGTTTGAAATTCTTCATAATATTGTAGTGTCTGTCTATAAATCTGATAAACGGCTTTTTTACTTGACATTATTATTATTATTATTATTATGACACAAGGTCAGTTATTCTAGCATTCTTCAACAGTACGGATTAGATATATACATATTGGGCTCTGAACAAGTGTAAGCCAGAACGTCCATGCAATATGGCTAGCTAATCTACACTATTCCCGATTTTCTAGACCTTGGTTTGTTTAGAAGTGTATATAACTTTATTGCCAAAAAAATAACAGCTTGTCAAATTTCAGGTCACGTCACCTTACAAACTAGACTTAATGTTTTTTATCAATAGGTCAACTAAAAATTTGGTCTGAGTTTAAACAGCACATAATGTGATAAATACAGAGAGATTTTAGCAAATAAAGTGTCTCATGTTTTCAATGCTAAAATACCCGAAGCAGAAACCTCTGTTATATTCTCTTCAGGGGTTGCCATTTGATACTGTTAGCAAATACAACAATTGCATATGATTTGTTTCAGCTTTTTATTAGTAAATAAATAAAAAATATCTCAACATGTTTCCCATTAAAAAAGGGTAAAACTTTCCAAGGAGTACTTCAAGGGGTGGGACGATACCAATAGCTCATGCTATGACCCATATCATAAAACAGCCTTCACAATCTGATAAGTATCGTGATAGTTTCAACACAAACTACCTAGCAAACTATACACTCAACACAGACTCTACAAATCATGTGAACGTTTACAAATAAGTAACCTGAATTACTTAGCAAACAGCTGCTATTCAATTGCAAATTGTGTAGTTTCTTGAATACGTTTGAATACTTTTTTTGAATATATCTGAATAATAAGTAATTAGTTAATGCAATTAATGTTTATCAATTTTATAGTAATTATTCGTTAAAGCAAAGATCTAAAACATAATTTTCTATCCTCGAACCTGTTTAGGCTCATATGACGTGAAACAGATGTAGAACTTAGTCAGGCCAGCTAAGAACTAGAGCTATGGTAAGCAATATTATATAGGTCAATATACTAAATTAATATAACTAAATAGACTAAAACCTTAAATTAACATTGAGAGTTACTAGTGCCATCTCGTGTATCAGCATATAGGGGTTTTAATCTGGCAGCACAATGTATAACAGCGATGATTACATGCCTCCTTGCATTCACATATCAGCTCATACATCTTGCATATATATATATATATATATATGCCATGAACAGTAGGTAAACATATTTTCTACCTTTTCAAACACAATTGCTATTCTCTTCAATTTTCGGCCCACTTTTGCAAAATATTAATGATTACAATTATGTTTTTTACACTAGTCAGATTAGTGTAATTAGTTATTAGTAATACTCACTAATAGTATTACTAAATTAGTCTAGTATTACCACTCATCACGGGTGAGGCGACGACGGATGTGCACAACTGCACTACTAGTACTAGTACTAGTACTACTAATAGTAATACTAGGGCTGAGAGGGTCTATGTCACCCAAGGTACTGCCGGAACGTACCCTGGGTATGGTCCGGTATACCGGAACGTACCCTGGTACTATCTAATATGCCGGACCGTACCTCGCCTACTCCACTAACGAGTCTAGGAAGTTGCCTACGCCTACTCCCTAACCCTAACCATATAAGATAGTTACCAGGATACGTTCCGGTATACCGGACCGTACCCAGGGTACGTTCCGGCATAGCTCTAGTACTATAGACCGCGTTCATTAACTGCGGCAGTTAATGAACGCGAGCTATAGTACTAGAGCTAGTTCCGGCAGTAACCTGGGGGACATAGACCCTAAGGCTATGAGTCATGAATATGAGTATGTATGACTATGAGTACTTCTACTTCTACTTCTTACTAGAAGTAGAAGTAGAAGTAGAGTATGAGTATGAACAATACTAGGAGTAGGACCACTTCTAGCATACATGTATTTACATAAGAACGCCATTTCCAGTACAATACACGTGTAGCAGTCAATCTTACTGAACCACTTCGAGGGTCTATGTTAATTAATAATACGATTAGATGGTGAGTCTGATTATTAGATTTACGCACGCAGCCAGAAGATAATAAAAGATCAGAACAGAAGACGGACCAACAAGCACATACTATTACTAATCAAAATGAGTGTGTCAGCGCAGTCTTTTAAAAACATAGATAAGTATCAAGACGTATAATCTTAATTAAACAGCATTGGCCTACAATACATGCCTGTGTTGGAGAATAAATTCCAGATATTTGAGATTTTGCAAAGCTTTTTGTTGATTTTCACTATTTTCAAAGCATAATAACAACTGAGCATCTTCGAGATGCTCATTGATTGACACAGCGAGAGAGATGGCGACACGTGTCATTCTTTGATGGATTCCTGATTCCTGTTAGTGTTTACTGAGACAGTGAGAGTGTTGTAGTAAGGTACGTCTTATTTAGATGTAAATATTTTGCTACGAAAATTACTCATTTATTTCTAACATGAGGAGTTTTGAACGTTATTACATGAATTGCGGAAACTAGCACAGTACTGCTGCTTGGTGAGTAAAAGTGACCGTGTATAGTTAACATAAGCTACCTCCGACCTGGGTGCTTCACAAGTTTTTATCATCAAAACTTAACCCGACCAGGCTGTGTGACTAACGTCAATACACAAAGGTATTCTAACCCTAGCAATACCGTTTCTTGGAGCTACAAAACTGTCAGTGTTACCTAGGCCTAGTGTTACGGCGATAGTATGCCGATAGCGGTTACTGACGCAGATGGGGTCGTTATCGTATCAGGTACTATAGTACAGTAGGCTGAGTAGCTCCAAGAAACGGTATTGCTGTTGTGCCCAAACTTGGAATCTTGCACAAACTTGGAATTTCAGCGCATCCGCAGTTTGGGCAACCAATCTTGAGATTGGGCAAACAGAGGTAAACAGAGCTTGCACAAACATATGATTATTAGGATTTCAAATGTTATATCATAACTATAAGGTCGTATATCGGGTACCTTCTTTCCTCAATGTGTTTGGCACCTTTGTATAAATATTAAATGATTATAATAAATAATTGGATAAGATTTAATATGAGATAAATCTCTTCCTAGTTTGCACCACGCACACCACACTCGCTATGAGCGGTTGTTGAATCACCAACTGTTTTCAGTTTGCCCAATCTCGAGATTGGTCAGCCAAACTAGGGAATCCGCAGTTTGGGCAGCACAATCGCTGCACAATCTCGAGATTGTGCAGATTCCAAGTTTGGAGAATACCGTTTCAAACATTGGCTGCAGCTAAACACGTAGTTGTCTTATTTGCCAAGTATCGCCTAAGAACACTTCACATGTGATATACCAAATGAATCAGTATACATCCACCTTCTTGTAACCATCAGTGCGCTACAATGCGCTGGGTACTTACGGGGTTACAGCAACTTTTTGAGACGAATGCAACCAAATTTATGAATTTGCCACCATGTTTGCTATCATTCCGACTGTGTCTAAAATCCGCAATGGATCGAACAAAGGAAATTAAACGATCTGCGGTCCTCATGTAAACCACCCCTACATCCAAGAACATGTCATCTAAGGTTTTTACAAATGGCCCAGACATTTGTGAACATCGTTTCACTTGCTTTGGTGTGTAATTGCCGTGAGAGCCATTGTGCAGCTATTGTACTATTTCTGTAGTATTTTCTAGCGAGTCTTTTCCGTTTCGGGTTTTCCGTGCCTCGCTAAACATGGCGGGTAAAGCTGATTGGAAAGTTGATATGCTGTGAGAATTAGAGATTATACCATGAATTAATAGATACATTCTAGTTTAGAAGCAGGACAACTGTGAGTTAACGTTCATATTTCAAACAAGGCAAGTCAAAGGTGGTAATAGAATAGTTTTATTTGAGACATACAGAGTTATTCATCTAGATCTGCAGAGGTGATAGGTTTTTTGTATGGAAGGGTGTCAGGCTGTATAGACAATTCGTCGCACAGCCTGGTCGGGCTAGTACTACAGATATGTACCCGAGGTAGTTTTAGGTTGTTTAGTATTATGTTTATATTTTTATATAATTAGGAGGTAGTTTTAGGTTGTTTAGTATTATGTTTATATTTTTATATGAGGTATGTTTAGGGTTAGGGTTAGTGTTAGAGTTAGGGTACACTTTTGTAGTGCAAGTCTGGTACACTTTGTGTATACATATATGTACCTCGGGTACATATCTAGTACCTGATACGACAACGACCCCTTGAGCGTTACTAACGCCTACCACTAGTACGATTACTACTAGTACTACTACTACTACTACTAGTACTACTACAACTACTACTACTACTATTACTAGTACTACTACTACTACTACTACTGCAATGACTAGCTCGTGTCTACGTTAAGATCACCCTACATGCATTTATAGCCTCGGTAATCAAACATCTGCCATGATCTGGCTTGCTCATGGCGACTACCGGTATGCACTGCTGGTGCTGCTAGGACACTGCTTACTTGCCAAGTTATAAGTAATTAAGTGTTCTCTATGTTATTTTGTTCATCTCATAAAGTTTACGGTGTATGCAGCAAACTGATGTTTAAATTCTAATATCATTGCTGGGATGCTGCACAAAACAAATAAAATACAATATATAATTATTTTCTTTGAGATGTACTACTACTACTAGTATTGTATATTTTGTACATATTTGTTCAACAGTTTTTTATAGTCACAGAAAATTTTCTAATGCAGTAATGGATGGGTGTCAGGCTGTGTACTGTCATATAGGCATATTTGTATAGGCAGTTCTTAAAGCCGTCAGAAGTGAAGTTTGCTGCTTAAACTAAGATGAAGAAGACGTTATAATTGCACTCTGGTAGGGTTACGACACTCCTTAATAATCCTCTGGCAAAAATACTCAAAAATATTGATTCCTACTTAATTTGATTAATCACAGCGCATCTTCAGTGTTGAGGACGCTTGGGACAAATAACATTTTGATATACACTTTACCTTTATATATGACTAGGTACCAGTACCTTGTTGATCCCAATGAATATTCGAATTGGTGTAATGGCTAATCAAAGAAAGTTTAAATAAATAATTAATACAGTATGACAAATTTAACACAGGAAGTAAGGCATATGTAGTCTTGATCTTTCATATTCTCCCTATCCATCTCCTTCATCCTTTTTTCTTTCTTTCGTTCTCTTTCTCTCTTCTCTCTCTCTCTCTCTCTCTCTCCTAATTTTATTTTATTTATGCATTTGCATTATATGTGCATTGCGATACATACTATTTTGTTGAGTTACAATTCATTAATTCATTCTGGTTAATACTCTAATTAGGGGTGCACCAGATCCAACTTTTTAAGTTCTGGCCAGAACCGGAACTTTAGCTGGGAATGGACTTGACAGTTTTGGCCCAGTATTGCGCAAAACTCACTCAGCCTGAACGAAATATCGTTAGCAGTCACATCACTCGGGCAAGTAGGACAATGCTCAAAGTTCTAATTACAGGATGGTTGTTAGGTGTATGAATCAGCTGCTTACAGTGCATAATTCTGGCATCTTATTCGCGAGCGAATTCTGTGGCAAAACCTGCATGTTGCAGTAACCCTGGTTAGCTCATCTGACATAGTCAGATGCAGCTTGTAGAATCGCATGATCGTCCGTCCGTCTGTCCGTCCATCCGTCCGTGCGAGCGTCCGTCCGTCAACAGTTGGGCACAAATCTAAACGGCTCGACGTACGGTCAC